GTGTTTGGCAGCCTGAACCAGCCAGCATGATCAGTGAAGCCATCTTTCTCTTGTCATAACCCATCAGGTTCTGCAGTCCTACTGTGGTTCTGTTCCCTGACCCAACAAGGGAGCCATTATGTGTGAACCCCAAGAAACTTTAATCTGGGCACATATGAAGTATCTTCCTCTTTTAACATTGTTCCCTTTAATGCTGAATGTAGTGTGCATGCCAGCAGAAATGAAGCCTAGACAGGACCACTGAAAAACAACTGAAAAACTCTGTAAGCAGCCTGGTCACCATTTTGCAGCTCTCACAGTGCTCCAGATCTATCATTACTCTGAGGCATTGTGGGAAGCAAATGGCAGTCCTCACCCAACAGCAGTGGAAAAATGGATGGAACATTCCACAAAATTGCCCTCTTTGGGTTTTGTTTATGTGATGTTGGTGAGAGGAAACTTTCTCAGAAATTTCATCTGAGCTCTGAGCTTAGGAAAATGAATTCTGTGTGCAGTGCTAGATTCTGTGGATTCTGTCTGTGCCTGTGGAATCAGTGCAAACATGCAGCTGGCCCTTATCCTGAGCAAGATGGTTCCTTTAGTCCTTTCCAAGGGATTATCCAAAGCTGTGTTGTCTGTCTGTCTGTGTCTTATAATGCATGACCTCGGACTTACAGTGATGTTTTGCAGTGATTGTAACATTTGAGGTGTTACACAACCATTAGATATGCACACATTTTACTATTCTTGTGCTAATACTCATATTACATGCCACCATTATTACCTTCTGTCTGTGTTATATCATACATCTCGGTTAATGTTAGCTGAAGTGTGCTAAACAGGAGGTTTGCGAGCTCCTGGATTTGCACGGTTGAACCACCAGTCCTGTAAACTATTTCGGAAGTCTGTGCCCAGGTTTGCAGCTTGCCAGCATGTTTGGTTTCACAACCTGCTTTGGATGGATTTTTTTCTGGAAGGACTGTGCCATAAAATGGACCACATCCTGAACTAGTCCCTAACATGATTCTGAATTCATCATGCCTGTCCTCCAGGGGGGGAAAACCTCACAACATATATTATGTTCAAAGCAGGAAAGAGTTTTGTTGAATTCCCATCAGAATTCCTCCACTTGGCTTTCTGGAGGAAAGATTTTACTTTCTGACACTCTTGACACATCCAGTACTGGAGGGTACCCAATGTTTTTGGACCCGTGCACACATTGGGGAATATGAGAAATACCCTCAGGTATTCCTGGTCTCCCCACCATGATTTTTCCTGGTCCCCCCCACCCCCGCAGGCCTTCATATCTCTTGACTCCAGCTATGGCTGGTGGTGTCTCAGAGGAAGAATAGGAGGAGGAGGATCCACATGAGAGCTTCATAGTCCTCTGACCTCATCCATGGCTTCCTAGAGGGAAGATATTTTTCTTCCTGATATTCATGATGCATCTTATATCTTATTTTTAGTAGAGATATCAGGGCTTGGAGTGCTGGACTGGATTGGCCCAAGATGAACTCTGCACCCAAGCTCGAGACTTACTTGGCTGCTTTGTGTTGGTCACTAACTTGAGCCTGATCTACCTCCCAGGGTTGTTGTGAGGGTAGGATGGAACAGGGAGGGGTACCACATATGCTGCCTTGTGCTTCTTTGAGGAAAAGGAAGGCTATAATAAGTGCAACAATCAGGCAGGCACTCACAGGGAGGACAGCAGGACGAATGCCAGGTATCTTTCCAAACAAAAGATCTCTGGGCTACCTCCACTTGATGCCATTTTACAGAACGTGCATACGAAGCTGCCTTATCCCCCCACAAATTCCTTGTCCATATAACCCTTTCTGCTCCAACTGCCAATATCTCTCATATCTCGCAGTCCTCTGATTGGCAGCTTCACCTCCTAATTGAGATCTTTGCATTTGGAGAGGTCAGGGCTTGAACCCAGGACCTTCCTCCTGCACACCGTGTGCTCTGCCTCTGAACTATGCTTACATCTTCCTCCCCACACCACCACCACTGCCCCATATCTGCATGTCTGAGGTATCTGGGAACTGGGACTGGAAGAGCATCAGGGGCAGGGTGAGCAGTGCCTTTTGGGCTAATTATAGGCCCTTTTTTGGCAGGTGCCGAAAGTGGGGCAGGCGTCCCAGGGCTGTTCTGCTTTCTGGGACGGTGTGTGCTGTTTCGCTTCCAAATTGCTTGGGCCTTGGGGCCAGCTGGAAACGGGGACACGGAGCACAAAAAGTCAGTGAAGGAGACTGGGGTGAATGTGGGCAGGGGCAGAAAGAGGTGGGGCCGGGGCCAGAGGTGAGGAATTTGCACCCGCTATGTGGGCAAGGGCGCAGAACAGGGACACTGTCGGAACAAAAGTGGGTGAAAGAGCCGAACGAAAGAAAATAAATTATGAGGACAAAGTGGGGGCTGGAAAAGCGAAAGAGTCATGCTGTAAAAGCCCGGAGCAGGCTCAGGGAAGCTTGTGCCTGCTTGATCAGAGTTCTTGCTGGGTACAACACGTATGTGTAGGAATATCTAGGATTGCGTGCCAGTAAAGACCATTTCCATAACCAGTTTGGAAGCACATTTCAATGTGTGCAGCCACGGACAACCTCAGACATTTTCCTGCCTGAGGCAGAACACCAAATGCTCTTCTCATCTCACCGTCATCACAAGTCAAGATGCACAGTACCCTTGAGCGTGCATGGCTCCAGCTTCAAAGGAGTACTTTAGTTCAGATCAGTCGTTAGGACAAACAATAATCCACACCACTATGCCGCTTCACTCCCTTCCCCTCAGAACCGTAGACATGAGCTCCCGAAACGCAATAAACTGAAGCAGGGCCAGAGATCCATATTTGTTCCAAGGTACAGTATATCTTAGGAAGGAAGACCAACTATGAAACGGATTAACTCCATTAGGGAAGCCAAGAGTTGAGCAAAGACTGTCATGGATAGGACATTTTGGAGGACTTTCCTTCACAGGGTAACCATAAGTCAGAGGCACTTGACGGCATATAACAATAACAGTGCATCGTCCGTTATGCACAATGTGGCATTCCCTGCCCACTATTTGCTGTTTCATTTACCCGTAAGGCATTATGTGTGCAGCTTCTGGGCACCCATCCTGCAGGGTCGCGGGGCGATGGTTGGGGCTGAGGCTGCAGCTGCAAACTCCAGACCAAGCATCTCTCAGCTGAAGCAACTGCCTCACTTCTCAGTAGTGCCAGCCCTCTGTGCAGCGTGTTTGTTGCCCAGTGTGTAATTCATCTGCCTGTGTCAACCCTATTGTGTGTATCCATAACCATATGCACAACTGGCTGATAGGCACAGCATGGAGTGAAAAACTCCACAGAACAGTTCAGTCACCCACAAGGCTTCTGTACTGTGATTTGCCACAAGCACAGCTAGGAAAAGAAGTAGTCACTTTCCTGTAGTGCCTTTTAAATATTTAGGGCATCATATGCATTGTCTTGGGAAGGCTGCATAATGATACTGTATAGGTTGCTATGCATGGATTGAAAAGGGAGCCCCAAATGGCTCCGTGCACCTCCGTTTATGCACATGTGTTTGCCCATCTCTCTACCCTTCCCCCCTCTCTTTCTCCCCCTCTACACACACACACACACACACACACTCCTGAGTTTCTTGCTGTGTCTGTATCTTCCATGCATAGATGGAACACATCTTTATTTCAGTGCAGATCAGACCTAGCTTGGGACAGGAAACAACATTCCAAGGACTTGAGGTCCATAAAGATTTTTTTTAAAAACCCACAGTCCTTCCTCCACCTTCAGATCCTTGGTACAATAGATGCAGGGCCACTGTGTCCGCCCATCCTCCTCACCCGATTGGATTTTCTGACGGTAGCCTTTCCTCCTCCCTCTCACAAGTGGATAGAGTAAAAGTCTCCATTCACTCATACTGAGCAGAGAAAAGCAGCAGTAGCACAGGTAAATTCCGAAGGGGAAACCCAGTCTACCTCCTGTGCAGAACAAGATGCAGAAGGGGTGACAAAATTAGATTTCACCCCAGGCTAGCAAACTAGCTTGTACTGATACTGCTGTGCATCTGCTTCTTTCACCTGTATATCCCTTACTGTGAGTATCTCAGTACGTTGGGGGTGTTGCTATACTGGCGCGTGGGTGTGTGGGCAGGGGGATGCTTGTGTGAAGTGGAAGGGAAAAATCTCCTTTTCATTTGATTTATGGAACCCTGGTTGTGCATGCATGTGCTATTTTATCTGTGCCTCTTTGATCTGAATGTATTATTCGTGTTGCCATCTGTGGGCACTATATGTCAGTGACTGTGCATACATGTGCATTAGAAGAATGTGGGTCTGCAGATCTGGCCTATAGAGGCCATCCATGCGCACTGCTCCTGCCTCACGTTTCCCACTCTTAAAGCAACCGTTACTGTGGTCTTCCAAGAAAATAACTTTTCCATTCAGAAAAATAGCAACCTATATGATCAGAGGGGCAGGAGTGCCTCTCCTATAAGTAAATGTTACAATGTCAGGAGCTGTTCAGTTTAGAAAAACAGCAACAGCAGGAGACATGGCAGAAACGTATGCATGGTGTGGAGAAATGGATAAGGGAGCTCTTTTTCTCCCTCATAATACTAGAAGGTAATAAGATCATCTGATTGGTGGGAGCTTTAGGACAGATTAAAGGAAGCACATCTTCATACATTGCATAGTTTAACTATGGAATTCACTGCCACAGGATGTAGTGACAAGCACCAAACTGAACGATTTGAAAACATAGCTATACAGATTCGTGGTGTGTAAGGTTCTCAGTGACTGCAAGTCAGGTTAACTGTGTATTACATCCAGCAGCAGGAGAAGCATGGCTCTGCATTCCAGTTGCTGGAACTGGAGAGGGCCATGGTACTCGCAACCTACTTGTGTGTTTCTCACTGGGGCATCCGGTTAGCCAGAGATGAGAACGCTGGAGTAGAGAGGTCTTTGGTCTGATCCAGCAGAGCCCTTCCTCTCTTCTTAACTCTGGGTCTCTTTCTTCCCCACCCGCCCAGTGCAGCCAGTGATGGTGCCCAGCACCCCCGACGATGCCCCAGAGCCCCGAGTCAAGTGCGGAGGAGGAGGAGCACCTCTCCCAGTGCCCCGAGGGGGAGTCGGGCTCGGAGAGCTCCCACGAGGGGCCCAGCTCCCCGGCCAGCCCTGCTAACCCTGCCCACATTCGCTCCATGAAGGTACCCGACGACGCCCACTTCAGTATGATGGTCTTCCGAATTGGCATTCCTGACCTGCATCAGACGGTGAGGAATAAAAGGGGGCTGGGAAGAGCACAGTAGAGCATGGAGGGTCTCCAGATGTAAGTTGAGGTATAGCAGGTGAAAGTTTGGTGGCTGTTTACAGGTTCTGACCAATTTATCAAGTTTGGTATATGGCAGAAATTTGCACTCAGAAGAGTAAGTGATGTTGGATATTCTCCATGTTGTGTGGCTTGGCGCTTCTGCTTGAGCCATCTGGATGCTGAGGATGACTGTTAGGAGCTGCCTTATACCAAGCCAGGCCATTGATCCACCTAGCTCAATCTTATCTGTGTCATAGGTAAGCAAGCCAGTACACTCAAGGAGTGTTGGACTACAACTCCCATAATTCCTGACTATTGGCCATGTTGGCTTGCAGCTGATCAGAGTTGTAGTGCTAAACATCTGGACAGCAGCAAATTGCCCACCCCAGGTCCAGAATGATCAGCCATGATATTCAAGATTTTCAGAAAGTTATTTCCAGCCCTGCCTAAAGATGGCAGGTATGAAAAATGAATCTTCTCCGATCAATACCTCTGTGCCAGGACAGGGCTGTGACCCTTCCATCCTCCTCAGCTTCTTCATTATCATGCTACCTTTGACTGGATTCAGACCACAACTCTAACCCACACATAAGGGTTGAATGTGGGTTTTCATGGGTTGTTTTTGAAATGTAGGTTATCTTACTATCTGAACCCAGCCAAGATAACAAACAGTGATGAATAACCCCTGATTCGCAAGACTGTGGGTTTTCTTTACAGTTTGTTTGTGGTTAGTGCAGCTGGGTTCATGTTAATCATATTTCAACTACAACCCTTGCTTCAGTGACAAGCCACACTCAACCCATACTCATCCCTTGAATGTTGTTCAATGTTTTGTCTAGACCCAGTCAGTAGGTGCTGTACAAAACATAAGAAGACAGCTCAGCCCTGAGGGACTTACAATCTTTAAATCAACGTGAGGAAGACAACAGAAGAAGGGGAAGAAAACAATGTTTACTTACAAAGACCAGAGATGTAGTGCCTCAAGTCAGCCGGCCAATTCTGGCCCTTCTGAAGCCTGATAGAGCCTCCCACAGGATTCCCTAGATGTCTCTTCCCGCTGACCCCAGTCCTTTCCCTGAGCACCATTCCTGTGGTGCTTGCCCAACTTTTGCATATTTTTTATTTATTTATTTGTTTGTTTGTTTATTTATTATTTATTTATTAAAACATTTTTATGCCGCCCCATTCGCCGAAGCCTCGGGGCGGCTTACAACAATAAATTAATATAAACATTAAAAATCCAAAAAATACAATATAAAATAAGCCGCCCTGGCCAGATAAAATCAGTTAATACTAACAGTTAAAATACCACTTAAATAAAAAGGTTTTCGCCTGGCGCCGAAAAGCAAATAACGACGGCGCCAGGCGGACCTCTCTGGGGAGCGTGTTCCATAAGTTGGGCGCCACCGCAGAGAAAGCCCTCCTCCGAGTAGCCACCCTCCTAATTTCCTTCCCGGAGGGTTCCCGGAGAAGGGCCTCTCCCGCTGATCTCAAGGGGCGGCTGGGCATATATGGACGTAAGCGCTCCTTCAGGTAACCAGGACCCAAGCCGTTTAGGGCTTTATAGGTTTAGGGCTTTATATATTTTCCATTCACCCCCAAAGTCTAAATGGTTGTAATGCCTCTCCTAAGGCCTAGTTACTAACACTAAAGCAGTAAACTACACAATGCTAGTATTTTTGTATTTTGTCCCCACCTTCAGCTCCACCCGAGTGGAATGCAGCCCCAGGAGCTTCTTGAAAACGGCATTTGGCCTTCTGGCAGAAAAAGGTCAACACTCCTGCAACAGAACAGCCTTCTCCAGCTTAGTGTCTCCTAGATGTTTTGGACTTCAGGCTCTCCTGCCAGCATGGCCAGTGAACAGCAATACTGAGAATTGTAGTCCCAAATATCTGGAGGGTACCAGCTTGGGAAAACTTCCAGCAGAATATAGGGATGAGGTGGCAGTGTCAAATTCTACTGAGCTGTTTCTGGAATTAGGTACATTTCCTCGGGTCCAGGGCATTTAGTCCACTCTGTTTTTGTAGACTCCTATACAGATATCATCAGCAGAGCGCAGGGTTAGCTGAGCAAGACACAGGCTAATGTGCAGTAATCTTTGTGAACAGAAATGCTCCTTGCCCCAGATGACCTTGACTTCAGATCCCCAACTCTGCAAGGCTGTGTTCAACTGCAAAGGGAGCAAGGAAGGGGCTTCTGCTGATGGATGAAATAAAATGGGGCTTTTTTCTTAGTAGGGCTCTACCCCCACCCTCACCTGAGTCCCTTGAGGGGTAATTAATGCAGAGCTGGTTTCATCCTTAGCTCAGCACTAAAGGGAATGTATTTCTTTCTCTCTTCATTAGCAATAAAACCAGGACACTCTGCAACACATAACTACACACGCTACTGCCATCACCAACCCTTTCATCCAGCATTCCTTTCATATGGAAAGCCAGCTGCAGACCTAAGCAAAGTCTACTTTTCCCCACACTACCCAGCTTCTTTGCACAGCTGCACACCAGCACTCCAGAAATCTCACTGCATATATCCCAGCTCACCCTCACCTTAGGGATGTGCATACAAGCAAAAGTTCAAGTTCATCAAAGTTCTCTAAATTCTACTTTGAAGCTTCATCTGTCTCATTTGCTATCAGGTGACAAGCTTTGCTTTTCTCTGTTTACACAGTTTACATATTTTCAGGCATTTTTCCAAATGGAACCTTAATTATGCACACATTTGAAAAGTACTGATTCTTCTTCCATTGATCAAGTGCGCTTGTGCCCATTTTTCACATTTTATCATGCCCATTTTTCAAATGCATGCATGATGATTTTGTGATTTTTCAGGCCACAAATCATGCTTGCAAATACATGAACTTCAATTTCACATTGCATCTTCAGTTTGAGTTTAGTCCAAAAGTTGTGAACTTCCATCATAATGAACCACAACATATTTCTCATACATCCCTAAGTCTGATGCAAACTGAGCAGCAAATGATGCTCCCATCCTGCTCTAGCCAAAGTACCTAATAGTACCCATGGCCAAACAAGGTTTTTTGGCATCTGAAGCATAAAACCTCACTAGTCTCTCTCCCTGGCAGTAAAAAAAATAGGGCAATAATGAATTAGTAACTGTGTGCTGCCTTTTCACAACACTAAAAATCTGCCGCCTGAGGCAACTGCTTCACTCAGCCTGATAGTAGCAGCCGGCCCTGCTTGCAAGCTGCTAATACCCACTCCCAAGGCATACAAATACTACAGGGTTTACTAGCGTACCACACTATCCTGTGCATATTTAGACAAAAATAAGCCTGCAATTCCCAGCATGCCTCAGCAGGGAGTTCTCTGTTTTATTTCCCTTTCTAAGCATCAATATGATTGTGCCTTACTGGATTTATTTTTATATCCCGCCCAGTTTCAAGAGTTCAAGCGTGGGCCACAATGCACAAAAATCCACACTGGATGAATTCCCATCACCTCTAAAACATGTTTGTGTGCAGGTACCCTGGCAATGATTTTAAGGTTGGAGGAGTCATGTTGGCAGATGAGATTAACATTGTTGTCTGCCTTTTGCACACAAGTTTATATCTCCCTGTTAAGTGGGCTAATGGTAAAGTTATTCAGTATTGTTGAAATAAGCCAGAAAGAAAGAAATCTAAGCCTTAGTACTTAAAGTAAAATTAATGGAACACTTAAAGGACATAAGTCGGCCACGATTACAGCAGCAGCTGGATGATTCCGGGGGGAGGGCTCCTTCCCCCACCATCCAATCCTAGTTGGGGACCTAGCACCTCTGCCCCTACTCCTGGGATTCATGTTCACAGGGCTCATAAACTGAGCCCAAAATATGCAGAATCAAAACTGAGATAACAGAAAATAAGAGTGCTTTTGAGCATGTGTAGAATGCCTTTTCCATCGCAACAGGGTAAACGCCAAAAGTGGCTGTGTACACATTGCCAAAAAAGAGGACAAATAAGAATAGAGATACGTATTACATTTGCATATGTGAATAGCTGCACACTTAGAAAACAGTAGATATTAGTTTAATTTATGTAGAAATACAAATAGTACTCTGAGGAAGAGTGTGACCAGGTGACCTACGAGCTTGCCCATTCAGCCTGGTATCCAGATTTTAATTGGATGCTTTCAAATGGAGGACTGTCCCGGATAGCCCTTCAAACAGAAGACTCCCCTGCTGCAAAGTAGGTCACATGGCCACCCCATTCTTCCACGCCCCCATGCATATCCATTGTTTAGGAAGGCAGGATTTCTGAGGCCACAGGTATGAACTGCTGTTCCTCTCTTTTGGGAAAGAGAGCCTACCTTGGAAGTGAAATGCATTCCATGTTGGAAGTGCAATGCTGCCGCCCCCCCCCCCCCCCCCGCTGCTAAATACTAGGCCTGTCAACACACCGCATCCTTTGGCAGCTGTCAAACTGTCACAGTTTCAGCACCTTGGCAAGTCCCACTGCTGATGCTTGCCCAAGATCCCCCTTTTGTAAAACAGCTGGGTCTAGGAGCTGCCAGTTTAATTGCCCACTATAACCCCAACCTATCATAGAATAGTAGAGTTGGAAGGCCATTGAGTCCAACCCCCTGCTGTTGCAGGACACCATTCCGCAGTTACACCGTTCCGCAGATGGCTGTCCAGTTTCTTTTTGAACTTAGCATCATTCCAGTGCATTATGGGAAATGCACAATGGCTACTGTACCCAGACACCCACCATAACCACTGGGCACTGCAGGTAAGTTGGAAGGACTCACCAACATAGAGCAGGACCCACTACTGGGCACTTTACTATCACTACTATTCTTGGTATTACTTTTGCTGATCCTAACACAACCAGGCACAGCACACAAAGGTCAAGAGCTAAGGTCAGACTCCATCCCTAGCCGAACAATCTCAAAGAAGGCACATGTCTGTTCCAAAAAGAGTTGGTTCAGCCACTGTGCAAATGAAACACTTGTAGTTTCTACATAGCTATTTATAGAGAGTTGGTAAAGCAGCCCCCCACTCTTCTTGACTCAGCCTGTTTCATTCCTCTCTTCCTATATCTTAAACAAACACCCTTCCTGGTATATATACACAAAGAATTCCCATTGCACACTTCCCACATCTTTGCATGACTAGGGCACAGATTAAAAGGCAAATGTAAATACCACAGTAGGTTACCAGGATCCTCAGGATTGTTGGTCTACATCACTTTGGAGAAGACAAGCACGGTATCTTATTTCTCTCCCCCTTCCTCCAAATCAACACCATTTACAGCTTCTTTAAAGCCATGCCTCCCCCCTCTTTCATTTCGGGTCCCATTTCTATTCACGGGGCAACCATGGAAACGGTTGCTAGAGATCACAAATTGTCGTGTCCATGGAAACGGGGGGGATGGAGCTGCCAGCATGTGTCTGGCTGGTTGTCCTTTCATCACCCCCACCTTACCCCCATCTGACCCTGGGAATCCAAGGGATGAGGGAAGGAAGTTGGGACTGCTAGGAAAGTCAGAAAGAGTGAGGCCAACCCCCAGCTGGGTGTTAAGGGTGCTGAAAACTCATCTGGGAGACACAATGCCATAGAAAGCTAAGGGTGTGAACTTCATTTGCTTCACATACTTATTATTGGTATATTAAGGCTCACCATACTTTGCACCACAAACCTGTGGATTCTGCATTCCAGACTTCATCTTCTGTGCCCCAAAAAGGGGCACATCCATATGGGAAGATTTCCCTACTCCTGGTGCAGTCTTTATCTCACCATCAGGAAAGAAAGCTTTCCATTTTTTGTTTACACCCTCATTGTGGGTTGCCTTGTGCAATCAGTAAACTACCAACAATTTCTCATTTTCTATTGTCTGCATGTGATTATGCAGGCAATGGGACACACGTGGTGACTGGTGAGCTGCAGGCTGACTGAGCAGGCCCAGGACCCAAAACATTTTCCATGTGGAAGTGATCAACACCCTTTAGCTCAAATTCCCTGTTTCTGCATTCTCAATCCAGTAATTTCATTGCTGGGGACAAGTGGCATGCCAGGTGTTGGCATGACAAATGCTGGCAGTGCACAGAGATTGTGAAAGGGACACATGGAGTACACACATTTGAGGCCCCTCTCAGCAGAATGCCCCCCAAATGCAGCAGGACTAGCTTACTACATTTTGAAGGATGTGAAGTAATACACATCCCATCTAAGAACCACCGCCCACCCTGCATTCCATCAGAGTCTAACATTCCCAAAATACACTAGAGTACACAGGGCTTTCTCTCCCCATCTCCCTATCCCATAAATACACACAAAAGCTACCTACCAATACATCAACGCAACCTTTACCATTGTTGGCTTGAAATTCTTAGCAGGTTGATCTCTGTACTACTTCTCAGATTTTGCCTGGAATTTAGTCATAAAGAACTGCTAGATATTAGGGCTGCCCCAGGCCATAGCTGCAGGACACCTACAGGGTATTTGTTCCCTCAGGGAGACAGCAGGCGTCTCGCCTGAATTTTAGCTTTCAATTAAAAATACAAGAGTAAATCTCTGTCCCTTTCATTTGTGCAGATATGAGGGAAAGCGTGCAGGCTGCATTGTGTGCAATGTCTCAATAAAAGATAAACTTGCCACCAAGTACAAAGACATTGGACTAAAGTGCCAACAGGCACTAAAATGCATTATATTAGTACTGAATAAAATTAGATAATTTTAAACATAAGCATATGTTTACCATAAGACATTTTTATTCAGGCAGGCCTTCCACGTGTAAGGCAATCTGCTGTTTTTATCCTATGATTATTTTGTCTAGTTATGTTTGTTTTTTATTATTTGATTTATGTTTTTATTTCTCTGTTATTATAAGATGTTTTGAGTTGCATTTTCTTGGTAGAAATAAATAAACCAGGGTACAAATCAAATGAATAAATTTAGGTCCTGGTTCATTGGCATTGACTCCACAACCTCACCTGCCGGCCCACCCATTGTAGCCTTCAGCATCTGAAGGCTTGGGGGATGCTGGGATAGAGCATCGGACTGAGATTTGAGAGGCTCAGGTTCAAATCCCCCACTCAGCCATTGAACTCATGGGATAAGCTTCAACCAGGCCCTAGAGCTTTTTGGCCTCACCTACCTCACAGGGTTGTTGTAAGCATAAAATGATGGCAAACTTGTTGAGTGCCGTGAAATAAAAGGATGCAGAACCTTTCAGCCTAAAGGTCAGATTCCATTTTGGAGAAGTTCTTGAGGATCATTCTTGCCCTCTTCTGGGAGCCCCCACTTAATAAAATGAGGTTGGTGATGACTAAAAAGAGGACCTTTCCTTCATGGAAATCCAAGTGTGCAGTGAGCTCCCACAGAGATTCACTTGATGTCTATGCTGTGATGTTGTTAATTCCAGGTAAAGACCACCTTATTTTTTCAGGCACTTTAGCACATTTCAATTTCTCTTGGTTCAAATTTGTTGCTGCATTTTAAATCTCTGCACTGCTGCTAAAGTTTTAATTTGATTTTTTTATAATGTAGTTTTACACTTTTAAACTTTTACGTTATATTTCACCAAGTTGTATGGATTTAATTGTTATGAAGTGACCAGAATGCTTGCACTATTGGGTGGCATAGACAAATAATAAATAAATACATTTCAGTATGCAGTGGGCAAGTCTGAAGGCAAAAGGGGTGGGGCCATAACAGAATATAAAGTGGGGGAAACAGCATTTTTTAGCTTAAAGCTTTACTGCCGGTAAGCAAGGTTTTGGAGAGGCATTTCGACCTTTTAAAATAGGGGAAAACTGCACAGAAACCAGGAAGCCAAGGAACATGGTAGGGGGGAAAGGGTGTGGCCTTCTGGGAAACCCCAAGGGTGATGGATTAGGGCCCCAGGACTCAGGTAGCGTATCTCTGAAATAAATGTCAGTGTTATGTTTTTTAAAGGGCTCAGATTGTTTTACATAACATTCAGAAAAATGTGCCATTTTGATGCATGCCTTCCTTTTTGCTCTCAACTCCCCGCCTCCTGTTTCAGAAATGCCTACGTTTCAACCCTGATGCTGCCATTTGGGTGGCAAAGCAACAGATCCTGTGTACTCTCAACGAAAGCCTCAAGGATGTCCTAAACTATGGACTCTTCCAGCCAGCCACCAATGGGCGAGATGCTAAGTTCCTAGATGAGGAGCGCCTCTTGCGCGAGTACCCACAGAGTTTTGAGAAAGGAGTGCCCTACCTAGAGGTAAGTCTGCTGGAGCTGGTCCTACAAGGACTTTGCACTAGCGGAAGGCATATTTGATTTTTGATAATCTACTCTAAGTACCACCTCCCTGAATGTCCTCTTACCAAAAAACTGTTCCTAAATTCAGAAAAACTGCTAGAACTTCATGGAACAGCCTTCCAAGGCTTGCTAGATGGGTTAGAGAGCAACTGCCATCCTCCTCAATCAACAACTGTCCTTGTTGGGGCTGAAGGGAATTGTAATCACACACATCAGGAGGACCTAGGCTAGTTTCTATGGAATATGCCTGGGCAGAGATCTGGTAATTGGAGCCTCACTTTGCACAAATATTATTGCTTTCTGTTAGTGCAAAGCCACCAGTGGATCGAATCTGTAGTGGGTAGAAGAGTGCAAGCGAACACTAGCCTTTGTGCAAGCCAAAACTAGCTTGCCTGGGCTACCAGTTTGTTCTTCTGAGGTTCCTTGGATGGTTCTGCCCCCTTCCCCTTTCCTCACACCCTTTCACCTGACCACAGAAAGTTGTTGTAGACTTAGTCAGGACACTTGGTCCATCTGGCCTAGCACTGTTGACACTGACTGGCAGCAACTCTTCATAGTTCCAGGCCGGCTTCTTTCCTAGATCTGCCTGAAGATGCAGGGGATCAGTTCTGGGACCTTCTGCATGTAAAGCAGCTGCTCCGCCACTGAGTCACAGCCACTTCCTCTACCAGCCATTTGGAGGTTTCCCGGCTTTTGTGCCCCATTCTAAAAAGTTGGAAAGCTTTTCCGGAAGACTGCTTACTGGTAATATGAACATTAAGCTGAAATAGGCTAGAATATGTTGGTATTTGGAGCATTTTGACCCCAGCCAGCTCCAAGCTTCTGTGAAGCAAGCTGCCCCTTAGGCTGCAAGAAATTCAGCAGCCCTTTTCTGGTAGTTAGTCATGCTTAAGTCTCATTGGAATCATGGAACTCAAGTCAGTCATGCCAAGCTTGGCCTGTTGATTTCACTGAAACTGAAGGCTGGCTTGCTTTCTTAGCATTCAACCCTGTATATTGTACCACAGGATTATTAGCAGCGGTGAAAGGCTGCCTGAAGCCTTGCAAATTAAGTAAACAGACATATGAGGCAAAGGAGTTGGTGGAGGAAAGGAAGGTAAGACAACAGAGGAATGGCAACAGATTCAGAGGATTATAGGAGGCCTGAGGAAATGGATCTGTCTTGAGGCACTTCTTGAAGTGTGGGAGGTTCTGAATCATATGAATATCTGGTGTTGACATTCTTCCCTCAGTTCTATAGAAGTTAATTCTGTAGTGTGAGGGGGGGGGCAGGCACATCTTGTCGCTAGTCACAGACATGCATGGAAACTGGGGCGCATGAACACAAAAGTGCCATGTAGTTTTCTAGATCAGAGGTGGGCCGGAAGTAGATGAGGATCTTCTGGGGGATCCTTGGGGTGATCCTCTTTCTGCTTTCTAATTATTTAACAGCAACAATAACAAAAAGGAAATCCTGCAAGCCCAGAGCTTGCCTTCCTGTGCACTGGTCAGTTGTTTCACATATTTCAACCAATGGGTTCTTTTTGAAGTGATAACAACATAGTATACAATTGGGGTGTCAACCCTTTCAGCCCAATTTTGAAGAAATGTTCAGGAACCAATTTCTAGTGGTGCCAGCACATTTTAACTTAAAGTTCTTACAGCCCGAAAACCTTAGAAGAGGCATTTCAGTCTTCTAGAATGAGGAACTACCACAAGCTGAGAAACTGTCAAATGATGGCGAAAGTGTGTGGAGCCAAGAAAAGGAGGCATGAGTTTTGTGGGGCCCTAGAAGGCCAGTTGGTTCATGGGCCTGAGGTCCAACACCCCTTGTCCATGCTAGTTAAACTGTTCTAGCTAACCTTGAACTGAAAGAGCCAGGGCCACCTTTATCAGTGGGTCTTGGCAGATGTACCTGGCTGTAGTGGCAATGCTCCTTTTAATATCTTACAATGTCTCAAAGGAACATTATGTCAGGATCACTGTGAGAAATTTAAAGGGTAGCTAGGGTCAGCTGCTTCGTACTGCTCTGATTGCTGGCATGGGGTCGGGGGCAGATATCAGCAGTGGGCCCTGGCAAATGCGAAGCAAGTTGGGTGTTAGTGCTGACCTTGAAAGAACCAGTATCATGCTGGCTTTTACAATGGTTCAGCTACAGGCTGCTGCAGAGTAAATTGATGCAGTGGCAGAGGAAGAGTGTTTATCAATGTGTAATGGAGCACTTCTTTCCTTGGTACAAGAAAAGGAATATTAGAAGTACAAAAGGCACTCTTATCTGTGAAATGGTAGAGGATCTTGAGGAAATTGCAAAATTCTTGCATTTCATCTGGCATGCATTACTGCATCACTTGTACTGCCCGTCTTGTCTTCCCAAGACATGCATGTACATATTTGGTCTTTGTCGGTGAAGAATGAACAACACACGACACTTGGAGATTCCTACACAGAAGTAATTTCTGGGAAGGAAATTCATGTTGTACAGAGCAACCCTGGGGGGTTTCTAGGGATGTGCAGGGATTAGGGTTAGACTGTAGGGGACAAGGAAACATCTCTCTGGAGATGGTTTAGCAGCTGCAGTAACATCTCCCTCTCTCCCTTGTTACTCCATTTTCAGTTCCGCTACAAAACCCGAGTTTACAAGCAGACCAACTTGGATGAGAAGCAGCTGGCAAAACTCCACACGAAGGTGAGAAAAGAGAGACCTTTCAAAAATTTCACCAATAAAATGAAATAAATTTTAAAATCTTATGTTCAGAGAGAGTCTGAAGTTGCAACTGAAACATCCCAGCTTGGAACATTCAGACTCTGAAATCCTATGGCTGCATTCACACATAACATTCAGATCAGACATGGCTTATTCTAACCACTGTCATGAATTACCTTGCAGATAAGCAAACACATGGCAGCTTGCTTTTCCCATTTCTGGTTTGTTCCTCTCCTGCCTGTTTTGGCAACTTTCACAGCAGTTTCATTTTTAGGCTGCTTTTGCTGGGCATCTCTCTTTCAAGGCAGGTAGCAGTGTAAACAAGCTAGAGCCAAAACACAGTTCTGGGTGTCATGGCAAAACACATCATGACAAGCCATGGTTTAAATAAACTGGAATTTACTTATAACCAATGATAAACCATGGTTTCTCTTTGTGGTTTCTAGCTGGTCAAGAAACCATGGTTTCTTTGTGAGATTCAGACATAATAGGAAAGTCCACATTTAATGACAAATCTTAGGTGAATGAACCCAAATGGAAGCAAGCAAGTCCTCTGCCTCTGGACCACTCCTCACTTCTACTTCTAAAAACAGTGTACCATTAGCTGATTTGTCAGTTGTCAGCATGACATACAAACCTGGAACACTGGTTTCCTGAGAAGCTAATAATTTATCACTGAATCATTTGTTTCCCTCATCCTTTACCCACATATAAAGTGGACTGAATTTTTTATTCTTCTTGCTAACTGCATCAGTAGCCTGCCAAACCAGTGAACAGTTCTGAGTTCCCATGTAACAAGCATTATGATCTGCAGGCCTGTGAACAAGGCCTATGTATTATGTTACAAATATATTGTGTGAATAAGGCAGATTGTGAGGATACACTGATTTCCTTGATGTCTGTAATAGAAATGCAGGTTACTAGCCCATTCCTTCCCAGTCTGGCTCCTTCCAATGTATTGGAGTAGAAATCATAGCGTACTGAATCCATTGGCAATGGATGATGGGAGTTTTAGGGCATCAGTTTGGGGAAAGCTGTCATAGCCTCCTGGCAGGTTAATAAAATGAATATATGTATAAAAATAAATTTTGGAGTCTAATAATCTGTGTGGGTTTATTTATAAGTCTGAATGCAACCGAATGTGCCTGTAAGATTCTCCTTTAGCGCGGGGAGGGGGGCGTCTCTGCACTCATGCTAGAACTCCCCTTGCCTGTTACAAAACTGCAGGTGGCTTAAGGACTAGGCCCAGCCCCACTGTGTTCCTCTTTTCAACCTGCAGTATTCTGTCCCCTCCCTCCCCTGACTCTCAATGGCTGTCACTGGCAAATCTTTTCCCCAGACGGGGTTGAAGAAGTTTCTGGAATACGTGCAACATGGAGCAGCAGAGAAAGTGGCAAGACTCCTGGACAAAGGGCTGGACCCCAACTATCATGATTCCGACACTGGCGGTAACTCTTGGGGAGGCACAGAGCGGAAGGGAGGCAGTGGCGTAGTGGTGCATGTCAAAGCACAGGCGCTCAGCATGATAGTCCTCATAGCCATGTCCCCAGATAACATCCAAAAACGCACACAACTGTGTTGATCCATATCAACAAACCAGTTCTAACTGTTTTCACTTGCCCCAGGAGATGGTGGTTTATGAAATGCATCTTAATTGCTCATTCAAGATCAAGCCACCCCAAAATATTTTACATTAGAACTAGAAATTACATATATTGTTGCTGGAAATGTCCATTTCCCCCCAGCTACTATGAATATTGTAGCTAAAATCAGATGGAATCAGAATTCTGGAGCAGGGTAGCAGAGAACAGCAGCTGAAAAGATGCTGACACTGCATCCCTCTAAGCCCTGTTTCCAATACTCCACTGGACAGAAGGCCAATCTCTCCCCCCCTTTCTCTCTCTCACACATACAGAGTAGTAACTCTCCGCTTTCTCTGCAGAGACGCCTTTGACTTTAGCTGCTCAGTTGGATGGGACCATTGACGTGATTCGGCTGCTATGCCTTGGAGGTGCCCACATAGACTTCCGGGCAAGGGACGGAGCCACAGCGCTGCACAAAGCCGTGTGCTCACATCACTACCCAGCCCTCATGGTAATGCCTATTGCTCACTGCCGGATGCTCTGGTGCTGTAAGATGTGAAAATAACTTTGGGAGATGTAAGAGCAGCAGTGGTTGATCTTCTCCACTCCCCCTTAAGTCATGTATTAGATTGTATTATCTGCTTATATATAGTACCATCAATGTGCACAGTGCTTTACAAAGCATAAGGAGAGATGCTCCTGCCCTGCTGAGCTTCCAGTCTTGTGCTGGGACAGGCCCTTACTCCCAAGGGGTTTACATTCTTGTGCCAGGATGTGCACTCTGTGCAAATCTCCTGGATTTCCACTTAAAGCAACACAGAATACTGGCCTCTGTGCCAATTTAGTGTGCAAACCTAGAAAGGCCATGCTGGCTGGCTGGCTGTGGATCCACAGGGTGTGTCTGCAAAGTGCCTGGGATGTAGAAATTAAAGGTACCCTCAGCAATGGTAGAAAAGTTTGGGGCAGAGAACCATTTTCTGCATTTTTGGAGGAGTCACTCAGAGGCTTCACCGAAGCTCCTTGGCTAAGTCCTTTCTCCTGCATTTCAGGGACACAGGAGCGTTTCGCTCTCTACCAGTGCTCCTGAATATATTTTTTAAGAGGCGTGACAGGTATCAAACAGAAACTAAGAACGTGCTATCCTGGTCAGCAGTTGACAGCTTCACATGTTGTTGTTAACGCCGTTCATTATACTGGAGTAGGCAGCCTGGTGCTCCACATTTTTTGGACTATTGTTCCTATACGCCCCACCTGCATGGCTAGTGGATATGAGAGCTGCAGCTTAAAACAACTGGATTGCTTGCCCTGGCATCTGCATTTTAATTCATCTAGGGCAACCCGGAGCCGACTTTGCCTTTACCATCCAGTCTTCCTGTGTGCTTCTTGCAGGCACTCTTAGATCTTGGGGGCTCACCCAATTACAAGGACCGCCGTGGGCTGACTCCACTCTACCACACAGCCATGGTTGGAGGTGACCCACGCTGCTGTGAACTCCTGCTCTACAATCGGGCCCACATTGGCACCACTGATGAGAACGGTTGGCAAGAGATACACCAGGTAATGTCCTTCATACAGGTCTAGCCCCAGACCACTTCTGAGTTTCCATGTCTGGTAGCCCCTGATCATGTGGGCAGCAGAGCTGTCTACCCATCTTATGTCCTGTGTGTGTTTCCTGCCAGGGCTGGCTCCAAGCCTAAAGATTGAGGGGGGTGGCTGTGACTTGCACCTGTCCATCTGGCCATCTAGCCCCACCTTCCATTCCTGACTTCTGCTTCTCCACGTACCAGGCCTGCCAACATGGACACTCTCAACACTTGGAACACCTGCTGTTCTACGGCGCTGAGCCAGGTGCACAGAATGCATCCGGGAATACAGCACTGCACATCTGTGCACTCTATAACAAGGTAAGTGTGAGTGATGAACCCTGGACTCTGATATAGAACAACAGCACCATCTCGAGCATCTGGAGCTCTGGTCCCCTGCCACAGGACCCCTGCCTTGACCAATATCCTTGATTGTATTTCCAATGCTCTTTCTCGATGGGGTCCTTTTGTTTGCTACAGTATCCTGTATTAGCCAACTCTTTTGCATGAAAATCAAAGTCTGTAAACAGGTGGAACCATCTTTCTAAGTCACTTTTTTGACTGAGAACATACAGCAGAGATGGAGTTTTATTGAGCCAGCTTACACTCCTTCTGGGGTAGGAGGCCAGTTCTTTGATGCTCATAAATATGCAGGGCATCAGGCCAGTCCTTTGTCTATTTGGAACCATGTGAATCAGGGGACCAGAGATGCTCTGCAAGGGACTAACGCCCTCTCAGAGCATCTTTTCTGCAAGGCACTCTGTGCAGGTTCTGGAGTTCAAGACTACTGTATGCTGGGATGGGCAACTTTGGAGAGTCCAGGTTCACGTTTGTCCTCTGGATCCTCCTTGCAGGCTGTAGTCCCCTGAAGAATGTTTTGTTTTGTTTTTTAAGTATGATAGCACCTGGAGTACTGCAGAATGCCAAAAAGATCAAAGAAGCTAGATTTGATCTTTTTGGTGCCCCAAACTGCTCCAGATATTTACTTTGAGGTGGGAGTGGGGTTCCGGGGATCACATAAGGCCTACTGACCACCTCTGCATTATAATCATTATGGCTTTGGGTAAAAAGATGTAACACTTCTTGCTTTTACATCTTTTCGAGAGCTGGGCTTGAAGGGGAGGCTTAGTGATTAGTGCCACTTCCACAGCCAAGCAACCTAGTTTCAGTCTGACACCAGGCTGTGGTGATGTTATTTATTTGTTTGTTGGTCTATTTATTTGTGGGGAGACCTTTGCACAGTAATGGGATGTCACCAACAGGGAGAGACATCTCCCCCACACACAGACTTTGCCACAGTAGGTGTGAAGCCACATGCTAATAATCAAGCTGTTCCCTCATTGTGTTCAGAGCAAAAGAAACCGTTTTTTCCGTCAGGTTAGGGCAGAAGTGGCTGGCATCAGAGGTCAGCATTTGGGGCATCTGTCAAGGACTAAGCTCCAAGAGGGGGCCCATTGCCAGCCCCCTAGCATCCTGATCTCCTTTCTGTTGCTATCTGCTTGCCTGCCTTCTCTGAGTGAGTCAAGAGTAGCGGGAGCAATGAGAAGTAGGATCAGCAGTCTCAGATGGTGTGGTTAGGACTCAGAGCACACAGACAGGCAGCAACAACTTCAGTAAGAAAGAGATGGGGCTCCTCTTGGGGAGCCCCTGTGGGCAGCTTGCATAAAAAGCCTCCAAACCTGGAGCAGAACCTGGCTGTGCGCAGCACTGATTGGATACCACCTGTGACACTGCCGATTGCCAGAGCCGTTTAGCTCACCAATTGGCAGAGTGGTTTGGCACTTACTGATTCTCCTTAATGAGATGAATAAATGTATGAATGTTCATGCAGTGCTTTTCAAAATAAAAATGCAAGCCCACCAGAAGCGCAGTGGTGGGTCTGATGGCTGTGCCAGATCGGTTTCACTGGTATTCATGTCATTCTCATTTCGGTTGCAAAGCTGGGAGGAAGCCAGGTTTGCACTGCAGCTTGAGAAAATGCTGTGAATTCTGTGTTGTTGTCTTTTAAAGTAGGGTTGTTTTCACTCTAAATCTACCTGTAGTTGGAATATTGAGCTGAAAGTAACTGTGTTTACCATTTAGCGTGCTGGGACAGAGGATACGCGTGGGGCTCTCTGTTAAGGAAATATTTCCCACCATACACTGGAGTTCCTACTGCAAATGCACTTTTGCATTCAGGTGTCCACCCTTTCAAGGTAGATCTGAGCAGGGCTGTCAAGGGCAGGACATTTTGGAGGCAATGACTTCTTGGCACATAACAACTCTATAAAATGTGAGGGCTCTATTCTTAAAACACTAAAAAACAACAGGTTTTCAAGTGCTATACGTGTTACTTATTCAGCCAAACTGCATGTTGTATTGCTCAATGCAGGAACAAACTGCAGTTTCTAATACCTTGCAAAAATCCTTTTCAAGACAAGTTAGTAGTGGTTTGTTGCAGAAGAATGACAGAAAGTTATGCTTAGGGCAAAAGTTCTTCCCCTCGGGATAAATGGATACTCTCTACCCAGAATCTTCCTTGGGCCTCCAGGAGTCTTAGAAATCAAGCTTTAATAAGCAGCTGGCACTCACAGGTACAGAGATCAGAGTGTAGATGTTGGCCTAGGAGATCTGTATTCAAATCCTGTGCTGTCCACTGAGAAGCCCTTTGTGAGTCATTTCCCAGGCAACCTCAGAGTCCCCATCTGCATAATGGGAAGAACAGCACGCACCATTTACAACACAGTGCATGTGTGTAAGGATGAACAAAATAAAAAGGGCATTGCTTTTAACCACTATGGGACTTGATGGATGTGAATACATTCCTGACATACAGCTCTCTGGATGCAGCCCCTTGTCCGCTAAGAACTGTACCTTATCAGTGCCTTCTCTCTCTCTTTCCTTTTCCTTGCCAACCTTCTCTCCTCAGGAGAGCTGTGCCCGCATCCTGCTGTATCGGGGAGCAAACAAAGAGATCAAGAACAATCATGGTCAGACTGCCTTCCAGGTGTGTGGTAAGCTGGGTCTAAGGGAGGAGGGCGTGCTGACCTAAATCTGAGCCAAGACATCATAGGGCTGACCCCTTGAACCCATCCTTAGTGCCATGTCTCAACCCTAAAGCATACAAACATGGATGTTGATGCATTTAGGCTCACATATTACATGCAGGAATAACAGTTCCCCAGTTCTTGTGTCTCATTTTGCAGATATTGCCCTGCATTCTTTGGCATTTCTTTCAAGGAAATGGGTACGTTTATTTTTCCATCTGTGGCCAGATCCTGTAAAGTCTGCAAGACAGCACTAACTCCCTAACTTTGTTGCCAGCACTGCAGCTCAGTGCATCAGCTTCTGCCAAGGTCTCCGTCCTTTCTGTGCAACAAATCTCAGAAGCTTTTGGCATTGCTCCTGTTCCTGCCCAACATCTATTTAGCAAAACAGGATGTTTGGGAGTTCTGAAGGCAAACTGGACTCTACAAGTAGCCTGCCCTGCTTGAAATCAGACGTTGCTTTAGACCAGGCAAGGCAACCTACAGCCCAGCAGCCACATGCAACCCTCAGCCTAATGTCCAAAGCATAATCCATTCAGATCACTGGCAAGAGCAGCCTGTCCTTTCCCTGGCAGCTGGCTGGGCAGGAGGGAAGAAGGAGAAAAAGGGTGACAGAAAGAAGAAATGGGGGACTCACCCATTTTCGGCACTTGCCCTACCCCTGCAATATACAGCCCTGCAATATTCAGCCCCTAACAGTTATACACGGGGGAATGTGGCCCTCATCAGAAAAAAAAACAAGGCTGTCTGCTCCTGCTTTGGACTCTGGTGGGAGCGGTCCAAAGGAAAGGGGAATAAAACAGTGAAAACATTTATTCAGAAAGCTACACTTACTGATATACAACCATCCATTCAAGGCATGAGGAACCTGTTTGAAATGGATGGCCAGACAATACACACACACACCTAGCCCTACACAAGCCTGACGGTATTGGGGAGCAGGGCCATGACCTCTGATATCACTAGATCCCTGGATGATCATCAGCCGGGGAAAGTCCTGCACCCCCTGAGGCATCCTCAGCCAAGGCACCAAGTGAAAGTGCAAGTCGTCCCCCGCACCTCATCCTCATCCTGCTCCGTGCCTTCTCCCTCTACATAAGGAAAATCCCCACTGTCACAAATCAGAGATGAGAGCAAGCATGCCTCTCCTTCTCCTTCCTGAGCCCCAGCGGGTCTCCAGGCTTTGGGAAGAGAGGAGGAAGGGTCTGCAGTGGGAGTCCAAGCCTCTGTGGGGCACGTGGGAACTTCCATGGGCTAGACCAGGTCCATGGAGCAGAGGTTCTCTATCCCTGACATATCCTTTCCATATTAGGTGGCAGTTATTGCAGGAAACTTTGAGCTGGGAGAACTGATCAAGAGCCACCGGGACTCAGATGTGGGTGAGTCTGACTAGAGGAAATGGGGGTCAGCACATCTATGCTACAAATGTCAACTGATTAACAATGTTGTCTGTGTCTTGTCTGAGATAAGTCCCATGGAAGTCAATAGAGCTGTCAGATAAGAGAGTATAGGATTGCATCCTTAATTTGTTGAGGCCATACTCTGTACTACATGTACCGTCTTCAGAACTGTAGACTAAAGAGGTTAAGAATTTGAACTCACATAAAGCATACTTACTGGGATTCTTCATAATGGGGAGAAGCCTGATGAGAACTGGTTTAAGACTAATTTAAAGCCTTTTTTCCTTCACAAGTTATTTTTCCCTTGGTGTTTGCATTTTCTACATCCATATAGAGACTAGGAAACCTTGGCTGGAATGTATGTATGTATTTTTTGTTAGCAATTTTTATGAAGGATATATTTCAGGCACAAATGGAAATTTATAGGGTCCTTAAGCCTGAAGGAGGATGAGCCATGAACTGCCCCTGCTTCACGCCACATTGTTGTCACCACAGAAATCAATGTGACAAAACTCTAAGGTGACCAGAAGTTTGATGGTAACAGTTAGCAATATTTTATTCAGGCTTCTTGATTACATGAGCTTTAAAAAATGGATTTGGGGTCCTTTAAAATTTGTGCTAGCTTGAAGAAAATGAACATGTTATGCAAGCTCTGATAGATAGTCTTTCATCTCCCTTTCAGTGCCAGGCCCTTATTGCTACACTGCTGTTGCTATCACAGTTTTCTTCATGTTTCCACTGTCTTACCCTCTCTTGTTTCTTCCCTGCACTGCCTTAGGCCTGTTATCAGTACCCCAGGACTCTTGGCCCTGAGTTGAGATCCCAGCACCATGGCAAGATCCACTGGTGTAGGTGCCTGCCATGGGTCCCTGGCAGTAGGTGGCCACTGTGGGAAACGGCCTTTTAAAATTTCTCACAATACTCCTGAGCACCCAGTGCAAGAAAAAGTTGGGGGCTGCCCTTTTAGTCTCCCATAGTGCCCTGGACAGCATTTCATTGGTCTCTCTGAAGGACTGTGGGTAATTTAGAAAGGCAACTCACAGACTTTGCCACCAGAGGAACACATTTTTGGGTGCCACCATCACAGGAGAGAACCAAAACAACAGTTTGGCCAAAACAACACCCCCCCCCCCACAAAAAAAATCTGGAGCCTGCTATCTCCTTTTAACCTGATTTCCTTTTCACTGGCTTCTATTTCTTTCTCCTCCTACCCCAGCACCCCTGTGATTAATTCCACATCTCTCACCTTCATTTATCCCTGCCTCTCCACATTGCTGCCTCATGACTAATGTTAACCAGACATGTAAAAACACATACATGCACACTTTCACATCTCCTTCCTTCCTACCTTCTTGACACTCACGGTCAGAAGAAACCAGAAAAAGCTGGAAACTGAACAAACACACAAGTTTTCTTATCTCGCATCATGTTTTCTGATTTGCTAGTCAAGGGCAGGGGCAACGATCTATGCAGGACTGATATCCCATTTCCCACTAATGGAAATGTTTTTAATATATACTGCCTTCCAAATTCTAAGATTTCACTGGGATTTCCCATACATTTCTAAGCATATCATCACATCTATATGGCCCAGTAACTTTCTCCTTTTTTAAAAAAAGGAAAGAAAGCTAAGATAGTCAGAAAGCAAACAGTCATATCAAATATTACTTTGTCTGTCTTTTACTCTCTATTTTCATTCTTTCTTTTGATCTTACATTTGTTGTTGAAAGTTGAAGTGTGTTCATCTTGTTTTATTTTATTTTTTCCATGTGAACATGTAGGGAAACACTTTATTAAGCACTGCACTATATTATTATTAGTAGTAGTATTAGTATTATTAGTATTATTGCTTTCAAGTGATATGGCAAAAATCCCTTCCACATCTTAGGAACTCAAGCCTACTCTTCATTCCTCCACAGTATGACCCATTGCATCCCGTTTCCCCACTGCCCATCCCTAGTATCCGTTCTTCTCCCCAGTTCTCCTTTTTACCTTTTCTCTGACATCACCATTCTTTGCAGTCCCTTTCCAGGAGACCCCACAATATGCCAGCCGACGCCGGGATGGCTCCCAGGGCCTGACAGTACCACATACCTTGCTGCGAGCCAATAGTGACACCAGCATGAATATCCCTGAGTGGATGCTTTATGCCCCTCCGTCCACTACATCGGCGACTGTAGCCGTGCAGAGCCAGAAAGTCACCACAGGCACCCTGCGCAGTTCCAGCAGTCCCCGTGGTGCTCGCAGCCGCTCCCCATCACGTGGGCGCCACACAGAAGAGGCAAAGAGACAGCGCGGTCGACCCAGGTAAGTAGAATGTTTCTTTTGGCTGGCACTCTTGATTAGGGGCCTGGGTGAAGCCATGGTGCAGCTAGGCCATTTGTAGACTCTGAACTTAATAATCTTATGGAGGGGGTGCTCTTAAGGATGCTGGAAGTACAGCCCATGGGCTGCAGGTGCCCCCTAGCCTGGTCTAGTGACCTTGAGGCCTCAGCATCTCCTGCTGCAAAAAAGAAGAAAAAGCCACTCTAGGAATGGGCTCTATTGTTCCTTCCCATCAAGCTTCCTTCCTAGAGTGTCCTCAGAAGACACCCTTGAAGGTTGTCACCCGTTTCTTAGGATGCCTTGGGAACCAGGCTTATATGGCAGGCGCTGTAAAGCCCATTCTTCAAGAAAGATACAGAGTTTTCATTTTGCTTGGTGGCGGCAGCAGAGGGAAGGGTTAAAACAGTGCTTGAGGTGCGTCTGTGTGTGAGTCGGGGGAGAAGTGAGTAGCGATAGTTTGTGTGCCTGAGAGTGGTAGTGGGGAAACTGACAGATTACTCCCACAGAAATGGAGCACAAGCAGCCCCTGCCTTAATGTTGAAAGTTTTTAAGTACCAGAATGCGTACAAGATAAGCACCATCTGAACAAGTCTTGGATGTCAGTGTATGCCTGTGCATATTTATGGTACATAGCCTTCAACAGACACCCGAAAGAGTATGCACCCTTGCTTTAGATGGTAACATGCATAAGCTCACTTACTTAATAATGGGGTAAGCCAGCCCTGCTGCATTTGCCCCCCACCCCAATTCTGCTGCCAGAGGTGCAGACATCTGCCCCAAAATCCTGTGCTGGCTGGGATGGCAGCCTGGTTCATAGGTTTCAGTGGAGGGGGATGAGATTTAATGGGGTAGACACTTGAGCATCAGCGTTTCAATTCCCTGGATATGAAATTAGACCTGGGAGATCCAGAAATCCCAATGCTTTTGGTTTATTTTAAATATCCACAAGTAATCCAGGGTGCAGGATAGTTAGCCCAGGGCAGTAGGGAAGCGCAAGGTTAAAACTACATATGAAGGGCACAGACCTATACATGGTTAGACAGAAAAAAAAATCCTACAACTCTCAGGATGCTGAGGGCAAAAGATTAAACTGGTCCTTACCTGCATGTTGTGGACTCAATCTTGATCAGCTTCCCCACCACCACTCTGATAAAATTGTTACTTGAAAATAAGAAAAGAAAAAAAAAAGATGAAAATGAAAGCACTTAAGAGGCAGTTTGGACCAAGAGATCTGTAGGGAAACACATATTGTCTACTAATAACCAAGATTTCTGGTTCTTTTCTAATAGAAGTAGAATTAATTGGGTTAAAGTGGAGGTGAGGAAACGAGAGAAGGAGGGAGATCAAGTTCAGAACTTCGCTATCATATTTGCCTTTGTTTCAGTTTTTTTATACATTACATATTTTTCATATATTTATCTCTCATTGTGCAGTTCATTATTTGCAATGTCTCTTATTCTTTTAATAATTTGTATTGTACTATTTTAACTCAAGCCCTGTTGAATCTCTTGAGGGCTGAATTCAATTTTGGCAAAATTCTTGGGCCAAAGTTAAAATAGAGCTGAAGGCAAAAGGAGTAGGCTGCCCAGAGTAACAGCATACTGTAGCCTCACAGTCCAGTCCTATGCATGTTTAGAAAGAAAAAAGTCTTACAACTTTTGGTTGGGGATACTGGGAGTCAGGAGATTTATTTCTATCTTAACACTCAAAGGACTGGATTCAAAAACTCTCACTACCAGTAACTAAGTCTTGTTACTGATAGTAACCAGTAACATTTGTACCTTCCAGAATGGGGAAAAACAGGAAACCATGAAGTGATTGGTGGTTGGGTGGGAGGGGATATTGGCAGGAAATAAGAGTATGGTTGTCTGGAGAACCCCAAAAGTCTGATTGATACCCCAGGTGCTTGGCCAGTTGAGCTGAGCTCCCCTTGCACCCATTTTCACCGTTTGCCCTCTCTCCAGAGAATGCTTGTTATGGGGCAGATTAAAGCAATAATCAATAAATAAATCTTGTTCTCTTTTGTCCTCTTCTTTTGGCAGCTCCAGTGGCTACCAGAAGGAGTCCACTGGAGGCAGCACGCTGAGTAGCCGGGGAGTGAAGCGGAAACTCTATTCGGCGGTGCCTGGCCGCACATTCATGGCTGTGAAACCATACCAGGCCCAGGCCGAGGGTGAGCTCTCCATCAGCAAGGGCGAGAAGATCAAGGGTACGTCGATCTCTGCACACACCCTTGGATTGCCCAGGGATGTTTGCCCTCAGCCCATGACACTGGGGCCTGTGGGAGAGACGAGTGGGCTCAGCCTGGGGGCCCTGCCTCCTCCTCCCTTGATTTGCCACAAACGTTTTGGGATCCCAAAGAAGGAAAAATACAGATTATTCTCTCTTCTCTGCCCCACCCCCAATTCATTTTGGTTCCCATGAAAGGATCAACTGGGATCTATGAAAAATGGAAGGCATCTTGGGCATGACTCATATATCTGGGACACTTTGAGCCAATATGTCAAAAACCTCTTTCCTTTGACATACAGGAGGCAGAAGGGGTGGGAAAGGTAAGAACTCTGTTGAGATTAAAAGTGGGTCAAGTGAGGATAACATCGAAGTTAAAGTAAAAGGACTGGGCCTAAGTATGGAGTTGCTCCATGTACCATTTCCATTTCACCCAACACAAGTCGGGAAAGAACAATTCACACCATTCTTCCTTAACCTGGCATGTACTAGCTGTGTCGAACTGTGACTCCCAGCCAACTTAGCCATTGGCTATGCTGGCTGGGAATGATGGGAGCTGAATGCCTGCATACCTGGAAAGCACCAAGTTGAGAAAGCCTTCTCTACCTTGAATGGGATATGGGAATAAGGTCCAGTCCGGGTGCTCACAGATACCAGGGGGTGGGGGCCAGGATGGATCTTGGACATCTCTCTTTCTCTCTCTCTCTCTCTCTCTCTCTAGGGAGGCTACCCCCCACCTCACACTTTGAGAACCTTGTGTTTGGCTGATAGAACTGGAGTCAGGGTAACTGTGAGGCTAGGCTTGTGTTTGTGAGTTTAGTCTTTAGTTGGTGTCTAGATTGTCTTGTTGTGCATCTGAGTGTTTCTTTCTGTGTCTGCATTGTGACTAGAGAACAGTGGATAGGTCAGAACCTTGTAAAAGGATATGTTGGAACTGTGAAATAAGAGACATCTCTTATCTTCCACGGAAATCTAGACAGTTGCCTTGAATTAGCTTGGGCTATTAGTCCATTTAGCCCAGTATTGTCTGCTTCGATTAGCAGCGACCAAGAAGTCAACTCGACAAGTTTCTTTGGCTTTGCATGCTATGTGCTCCTTTAAATCAGGGTGTGAAATACTTGACCTACAGGGCTAATCTAGCCCATAGAAATTCCACAGCTGCCCCCTGGAGCCTTCTTGGGTTCTTCTAATCCCTGACCCCTAGAGCAATCCCCCCTCCCCCTGAGGGACCCCTGCAGTTTTGTACCTGGGGTCTTCTACATCCCCAACATGTACTGTTACCACTGAGCTATGTACCCACACCCATTAAAGGAGGGGGTGTAAAACTACAAGGGCATCCCATTGGGCCTGGTGGAGCTGTGTCATGCTAGGACAGTGATGCTTAAAATGTGTTGCATCGTGAACTTATTATGTTTAGTGGTATATAAGGATCACATATAAAATAAATAAAAATGAATGGACCACCATTCTACTTTGCTGCCTCTTCACAGAATAACATTCCAGAAAACACAAAATCCCACATCCAAGGATTGTGTGTTTTCAAACTGTGAATTATTGAAATGCAAATTACCATGCTGTCTCTCAGTCCAGCCAAGCTAAGAAACCATGATTTGTGTTGTAAACTATGGATTTTTCACCATGGTGTGCTATCTCAGCTGGGCTCAGGCAATGCGATAGCTCACATTTCAGCAACAGCCCATGAATCAATGGCAAACCACACTCAATCCCTACCCAGACATTCTCTTAATGCCATTACACTGGAAGCCACTTCGAAGCAGGGAGGGGGGATTACCAGCCTGCAAAACCTTCACTGATTTCTTGAAGGGGTTGAGTTGGCTTCCTAGCCTCGCCCACAGAGGGAATCCCCACTGTTATCTCCAGTCACAGATGAGAGATAACAGCATGTGATGTGGACAGCAGGGGACCAACTTCTCCTGCACAGCACAGCTGTGTGTTTGCTTGCATTCTGCCTTTTTACTTGGAAGGAACCCAAGTTGCCTTCCATAGTTTCTCCTTCTCTCCATTTTATCCTTGTAAGAACCCCGTGTGGTAGATTCGGCTAAGAGTCAGGATTAGAATCCGGATCTCCCAAGTCCCAGTCCAGTACCCCAACCACTACCCCATGCTGGCTTTCAGTCAAAAACTCTTTTGGTCTTCTCTGTTAAAGGCTTACAAATTAGATTTTTTTTTTGTCTGTGTCAGTGCAGTTGTCCCAAGGAAGGTGAACCGCAAGAAGGTAAAAAGAACACTTACGAACAGACCCACACAAAAAAGAGCACACCCTAAATTAGGGGAAGGGAGCCTTTTATTCTGTTGAGGGCCACATTCTCTCTGGGTAATGTATTGGTCTGAATGTCAGAGATGGATGAAGCCAAGTGTTGGGCAGGGCCCAAGGCAAAACTATTTCTCCCTTTTGGCCACACCTTCCTTCTCTTTTCTTGTACCCCCCTCCCACTTCACTTTCTCCCTCTTCCCTCCTGCCCAAAGGATTGCCAAAGTGTGTGAACTGCTTGCAGAGGGCTTTCAAAATTAGGCAGGCCAGCTGCAAGTGGCCCACTTTCACCCTAAAATGAGGATTATATAGACCAGCTTTCCCAACCTGGCACCCTCCACGTGTGTTGGACTGTAACCCCCACCATCCTGAGACAGCCTGTTGCATGGCTTTATACCTCTATCATCCCCAGGTCTTATTGGGGAAAGCTGAGACAGACAGTGGCCAATGAAGCCTATATCAGGGGACTTAAGCAGTGTTATTAGTGCCCTCTGCAAGCCAGTTGATCTAATGGCCCGCGGCCAGGCCCATGAATGTCTTCACCTCGACCATCTTTGCCTCCACGTGTCTCTCAGCATCGAGAAAGGGACATTGCCAGTACTGGGAAGGGCAGCCACTATTCCCAGAGCCTGCCAAGTCCTGTACTTTCTGTGCCACCTGGAGTCTCTGTGGAGGTTGTGAGTACCATTGCAGAACAATACAACCAGGATGAGAATAATGGCTACACTTCCCACTGCTGCCCCAAACCCGTTTCCTGAATTGTTACTGTTACTCCAATCCGAGGGAATTGGAGATTATAGCAGATGTTTCTACTCGTGCCAATCCAATGGGAGGGAAAGAGGCACACCAGAAAATCTTCACTTTTATCTCTGAACTCAGATAGGAGTTAACTCTAGGAGCAGACTTGGGTGCCAGGTCCCGCCTCTGGGGAAGCATATGGCTTTGCAGGCCAGATTGGGAAGCCCGGTGGACTGGCTTAGGTCCACAGGCTAGTGGTTCAGCACCCATTTTAAAAGATAAGGGGAGGAAAATAAACAAGGCCAAGTTTCACATTGACGGGTCCATCATGGCCCAACTCCATTTGTTCATCCTCTTGCATTCAAGTCACAAAACGTGAGGAATATCCAAGAGACAGTGCCAGCAAGATTCCAAGCCCGGATCTTCAAAATGGCTACAGCCTTTGACAAAACAGGGACAGCAATTTGAATTCCATTTTCTGCTCTGCACAGGCCATTCCTCATGCAACAGCCCTCCAGGGTAGGCTAGGCAGAGGGGTTGTGAATGGCCTGAGGGTCCTGGATGTCTGTTCCATGGGAGGGAGTTCAGACTTGTCTCTCTTTTGCCACACTGGCTATGCGGAAGTGGCAAACCTCAAAATGGCAAACGGCTGACCCACCTTAGCCCACAGCACCTGCATAACTCTAACGATGCCCTTCTCCATTGCAGTGCTGAGCGTTGGGGAAGGCGGCTTCTGGGAGGGACAGGTAAAGGGCCGCATGGGCTGGTTCCCCTCAGACTGTGTGGAGGAAGTACCCAACAAGTCACAGGAAGGGAAACAAGGTAAGTGTTCTAAACCTTTTCTTTACCATGTAAGCATCGTGCACACCTACACACAAATAACATTCATTCTCCAAGGGTGAGCCCTTACATAGCCAAAAAGGCACCAGCATTTTGTGCACAGGAGTGCCGTATTGCTCGGCTTGGGAGGCATCCAAGGTTTGCCAAAGTGCAAAAAGAGGAACAAACTCCAAAAGCAGCTCTGCAAGGGCTGAGCATCCAGAGCTGATGGGAGGAAACAAATGCAAAACCAGGGAAAGGGGGAATAGAGTGGAGCTGTCTTACCTAACCTGGAGTCCTTCAAATGCTTTAGACTACAACTCCCATAATTCCTGACCAGTAGCCATGTTGGTTGAAGTTGATAGGAGCTGCAGTCTGAAACATCTGGTGGTTGAGAAAGACTGAAATGAAGCATCCAGTGGATCTGCTTCTCCTTGCCCACTGGCATGGCCCCAGTCCATCTTCCTGACCTCTGTGGTTACAACAGAAGAATTGTTGCAAGTTTCCAGGGCAGCAAAGGTGTAGCAGGGTGGAAAGATCATGGTGGGATCTCCTCTTCTGCAATTGTAGCCCAGTTGTCTATGGGCACAATGGAGGAAGAGAACTGATGAGCCTGGGACTTCCCAGAGGTCATGTAGGAGCCATGGGATGGCACTCATAGGGGTGCTTCCAGATGGAGGGCTCCTACTACTCCAAATGAAAAGGCTTTGTGCAAGGTTTCCCTCATTTCCTCCTTTTTGTATTTTCTCTGGAAAGAAAGAAAATAGAAGCAGTGGGAGGTGGGGGGATGGAAGGAGTACAAACGGAAGACGCTATTGTCTGAAGACCCTACCTTACACACACCACGGACAGACAAACAGACAGACAGACAGACATACAGACAGAGAGAATGAATGAATGAATGAATGTGGATGAAATAGGGCAAAGCCTCATCTGGAAGCACCCTACATTGCTTAAGGTATTCCATTTGCAGCAAGAAAGGGCACATGCCTTTTTTATATAAGGTGCTCTTATACAGCTTTCCATTAAGTACTCCAAAAGTGTTGTACAGTACTCATTAAAAAGAACTATTACTGTTGAAAAAGAAAATCTAACAATGGTAAGCTTTAAAATTTACAAATGCTTGGTTAAACAAGTATGTCTTCAGTTAGTACTGAAACACTATCAGGGTTGATAACTCTCATGTGGGGGTGGGCTATTCCAAAGGAGGGATGCCACAACTGAAAACTATATGTACCTGTTCTGCTAATCACACACCCTTCCAACATTTCACAAATGAAATTTGGGATACTTCCATATATTTGTAACATTCCTATTCTCACATGTGATGCACAAATGGATGTGCACTCTGTTTGTCCTATTCACATTGCACAGTATTGTTTTTTCTCTTCCTCTGCTCAGTGTTACAGAACTCTTTAAGGGGGTGCCTCTAAATGAGGCTTTTATTGCACTATTGTCCTACCTTATTCACCAAATTTTAAGATGAGGTCCACATGTTGTCATCTTTCACTTATAACCCAGCCATATTTTCCCACTGCTTCTTCCATCTTTTTTGTCACTGCAGGAAATCCATTATGGGAACAAAGTCAGCAAAGCTGGACAATGTCTTTTGATCAGTAGTGCTGGCAGCCGGCCCCCTGCAAGCACCCCTGTGCTGTCTTCTAAAGCAGGCTCTTTTAGCAAACTGCTTAGTAAACTGATCATAACCATTTCCATTTTTCTTAAATGTAAGAATAAGATTGTCAAATAGACTATTGAAATCTCACCTTGGATTTATTCATGCTCACTAGTTGTGTCTCAAAACTTATTTGTCAGCCTTTTGTATCTTGGTAGGCAGTTACGTGTGTGGAAACAACACACATTAGTCTTTTGTGTTTAGTAAACAGCCAAAAGAAACATCACCTAAGAATGCATCAGGACAAAGCTTTTATCCTGCGATTGCCCTGTCTCAAACACAGAAATTTATGGGGAGTGAGGACAGTTGTCTCCAGATGCCATCATTTTCTCTTTTGCAACCTCCCATGTTTACCTAGCTTTTTACTTACCAGAAAAAAATCCCTTAAGGAGGGAAAGATGGAATCACTGCCTTGTGCTTGGTAGCATTAGGAGTCTCCTCTCTGGAAGCAGCCTTAGTCACAGTCTGGTACTGCTGGTGTGATTTACAAGCACAAAAAGGGTGTGATACCAAAAATCCAGAATTTATCCCACAATATGTCATTACACTTAACAGTTTGAAATGAGTCTTATAAGCTGCAATATGTGAAAAGGCACTCTGCTTACAAGACAGTGGCTTAATATGAATTTCAGACAAGAAGCAGTTACTTTCTCAGAGAGTTCTAGAGCACCAGAGGGACTGAAAAACTAACAACTGTTAACAACTACTATATTTCTACACTGGCTGCAAAGAAGAGGTCTTCTTTCCTAGGGTGGCCATGGGTCCTACTTACCAGAGGACAGTCCTCTACTTCAAGGCCCTGCCAAGCATTGTCCTCTAGATGAAAGTGTTCTCTGTCTTAAGTGCTTTTTTCCTCATGGAACCACTGTTTGGTCCAAGTACCACTGAAAGACTGGAACCCTAAGAAGGGAGAGCACCGCAGGACCTTGAAATGGCCATCTAAAGTAAGCCCTTGGAGGACATGGACACTCACATGACCTGACCATGATCTTCTCTGGGACATGAGATCTATGATACGCAGAACTGTATACGCAGAACTGTATCCTCTTTTCTGACAATGTGTTAATTGGCTACCTTATATCCCTCTACTTAGTTTCTGTGCTGGGCATTTCTACACCACTAGCCCTCTCATGTTACTACATGCAGTTGGATGCCTAAATCCAAAGCTGCATCCTCTTCTGCATCATCCCTTTCATGTCATCATTGTCAGTAGTGTCTTACAGAAAGTACGAGTGCACTAAAATGCTAACAACAAATGTAAACAACAAATGTCGTCAAATCCCAAATTAAAAAATAGGGACAATTCAGTCATATACCAGAAAATAGGATAGAATAATTGGAACATTGGCAATTGGCTCCCTTTTTATTATGGTGGCAATTTATAAGTCAACAAAAAGAGGAAATGTACCAGGACAAAACAGGATACAGATTTTTATAAAAGTTGTGTATGCTGACTGATCTGTATGCCTGCAAACTTAGAAATTATTATTATAGTTTTAAAAGAAATATAGCTCACCTCTCCTTAATGCCTGCGCACTCAGTCCACTGCCGAAGTACTCAGTTCTTCTGGCTCTTTATCCTTAAACCAGATTTATACTAGAGAGGCCTTCCAGTAGATGGCTATGCTCTGTAGGCAGGGCATATCCCCCTACTTTTTACTCCCTTTTTCCTCTGCCCTGTAGTTGCCCCATCCTTCTTTCCATGGGCATCTCATCTCATTCTGGATTGGGCAGGTCCCACAGGCCTGCTAGCAAAAGCTCTGCTGCCAGCAGCTGGTGAAGGGAACCCCAGGAAGGACAGGAATTCCTGAAGTTTAAAAAAGAAGATGCAGCCTGTGCATCATACACCTTTCCACCACCAGATCCTAATCCCCATCCTACTTCTGCTTTGCTTTGCAGAAAGCCGCAGTGATAAAGCCAAACGACTCTTCAGGCACTACACAGTGGGCTCCTATGACAGCTTTGATGCCCCCAGGTGAGTAAACCATCCCAAAAGAATAGGTGATCTGTGGTCTTGTGCAGTGCAAGGTGTAGTCATGGGGAATTGTGGCTATACTTTGTGAGCATGGATAGATCTTGGCATGTTAGGGCAATAAAGGTCACCATTTCCTTCTCTGGTGGCATCTTACAAACACACACCCAAACATCATCAGTTCTCATGTGTTGCTCTTCAGGTTCACTCATGAAAACCCAGGTATTAGCACTAGGCTGAGGAGGGTGGCTTCCAACCATTACAAATGAAATCCCAAGATACTCTCTCTGGATCAGGCAGGAGCAAAGAAATGTGTTTATTGCAAAACAAAGCAGAAGAGTTATAAGTTACAGTCATTTTTGCTGTTCAGAAGATGATGGGCATGAGTGAAAATGACTAGCAGTCAACAAATTGTCATTAATTAATTCACCATAACTACTGGAGATAAAACTTATGAAATTTGCTTTTTGATTTGCGGACATAAAGAATATAACGGTGGGTTTTAAGACTACTTGATACATTCATGAAGGATATTGCTGTTTGTTCTGTGGCATTTTGAAGAAGGGCAACTTGAGACAGGATGTTGGGTGGAACTGAGTTTTCTTTTTAAAAAGGCTAAGTGAGATTGCAGTCCTGTACACTCTCACCTGGGAGTAAGCCTTGCTGACTACACTGGTATTTACATCTGAGTAAACATTCATAGGAGTGCACTGTGAATAGGATTTCCTTGGAACTAGAACCTAACCATATTTGCGTGTTGAGAAGAAATTGGTTTTGGCTATTTTGTGTGTGTGTGTGTTTGTGTTCCTCTACAAGAAATGGGTTTGCTCATTTGCTTGGGTCATCTAATGCCATCTGCTTTATAGCCAGCCTAGTATGGCACAGCTGGTTTTCTTCAGATGTTTGCTTGTAACCTTCTGGGACATGAACTATGGAGAGATGGGGAAAGCACAGAATATGGTCTGAATTCAGTCACTCTCTGGGCCTTTCCAACTCAATGGTTTCATCAGGAATCTTTTGAAAGCATCAGAGAACATTGCACTTACAAGTTTAATATGATACTTGTACTAATGAACTGAAAAATCGAGGAGGAGAATTGACTGTCACACTCAAGGACTAAGGCAGGGGTACAGAACCTCAGATCCAGAGGCTAAATCCAGGCCCTCAGAGTTCTCCAGAAGGCCACCCCGCACTCTCTTTCTCATGACTGCTGGACATTTGGTGGTTTAATAACATTTTTCTGCAGCTTTTCTCCCATTCTGAAAGTTCCCAATATTACGCCTCAGGCTAAGTTACTAGCATTAAAAGCTTCAGATGAAAATATGGAGGCATTTCTGGTGTTTTGGCCTTGCCCATTTTCCCTTTGCCCTTCCGACCACTGGAAAGCAGTCCCCTTGAGTTTTTCTGAAATAGAATTCAGCCCACAGTCTGAAAGGCCTAACAGAGAGCTATGTTGGTCTGTTGTAACAAGAACAAAGAGACTTGTAGCACCCTAAAGACTACCAGATTGAGTATGGCATAAGCTTTTCTTGAACTAGCAGTCACTTCATCAGATGTATCGAGGACTATGTGACTGAGTGATTAAGATTTTTATTTCCTGGTTGTTATTGTAGTCCCCCCCCCGCCCCTTCTATCTGCTTTAACTTGGAGCATGTTTGATTATATTAAGGTGTGATTGATTGCAATAAGATTGCACCCTAAATCAGCTTTCCCAAACTTGAAGTGCTTCAAATGTGTTGAACCACAATTCCCATCTAGGAACCAGACTGGAGAAGGCTAATTAAATAGTTCTCCTATTTTTCTTTCATAGACTCCAAATATTATACCTACAAATAGAAATGATAGCATACATGTACATTTATTTGGAGTGCTTAAAACTTTAATCATATCATCTCAATGATCATTACAACCTTGTGAGACAAGTCCATTTTACTATCCCAATATGGAGTGGAGTCTATAGCTAAGATACATTACACTTCTAGCCAGACCTTCTCCCAAAGAATTCAGAGCATCATACAAAGTTCATAAATACATGTCCACACATACACATTTTAGCCTCACAACATCCCTGTGAGGTGGGTCAGGTTGACAGAGAGTAGATGACACAAGGCCCCCAAAGCGATTTGTGACTGAACAGGGACTAGAGCCCAGGACTTCTCAGCCCTAATCTGACATTGTAACCCCAAACATTCCCGATCTGGTTTCCCCCAGAAGTGTTGAACCACAACTCTTAGCAGCCCCAGCTCTCATAGCGACTTGCCTAAACAAACCAAATGTGTTCAAATTTCGATCTCCTAGAATCACTTGGAAAATGAGGAATAAAGAGGGGTCTTGATTTAAGGAGCAAAAGGGGCACTGGGTGAGGGCAGCTCAACCTCCCCACTTCATGCATGCCATTCCTCCCTTGAAGATCCTGTCCCCTGGAGCAGGGGGGCAGAGTCTGCTGCCCATTCATTCTTTAAGCCAATGTGCAGTTTTGCATTTTAAATGTACCTAAATCTTAATATCATCATGGCTACAGGGATAAAATGGAGTTTGCTTCTTCTGTCTTCATTGCACACACTTCAATGGATAGCCATTTTGGAGACCTTCATCCCAGTGCCCAGGGCTAGCAGCACCACTGCAGGCATGCCTGCTCCCGGAGGTGGGTGGGGGGTGGTACTGGCAAAAAACCACTTTCCTTCTGTTCCCTCCACATGGAGGAGGCAGCCAATTGTTTGACTCTCTCATTAGGCTAATTATGGCTGTACCCACTGCTTCCAGGTCTATTTACATGAATCATTTACCCAGCACATATAACGTATAAAGTGGTTTATACCTTGTTTAGGCTTGCTGGAAGACTGGGAGATAGAGAACTGAATCTGTGACTGGCACAGGAGGAAAGCTGTGGCTCCTCCAGTCCATGTTGGACCCACAGTCAGCCTGTGCACGAGCCTGTTCTTCTTCTACCACTCTGACCCAGTTCACAAGCAGCAGCAGCAGCAGCAGCAGCAGCAGCAGCAAAGCTAGGGTTAATTAGCCCACACATTAGCACAATATGCTCTTCTGTATGGTGAGTGCATTTTGCAGCTCTTTTGAATATTCAACCCTTGATCAAGCTGTTTTGTGACTTTTGCACCCTGGTATTATAGGTTAATTGTAGCTAAATAACCCACAGATAACCTACAATTAATAGTTAGATTAACTGTCTGTGGGTTGTTTAACCTATAGTGTCTGGGTTCAGATATCACATAGCAGATCATTACCTGATCAGGAGCTGAATATTCAAAAAGGCTGTGGCGTGAACCCAATACATGCTGCAGTAAACTATGAGTTAGTTAACCTATGATTTGTCACTATTACATACAAACAGCTCTGTAATTTATCTCCCATTTTAGATAATCTCGAGACTTTTGGCTGTTACCTTCAACACCAGGGCAAGGCAACTCAGTGCCTTACAGTCATTTTGGATTTCAGTTCCCATAATTCCAGATGATTTGCCATGTTGGCCATAGTTGAAGGGGGTTGTAGTCCAAAACGTCAGGATGGTATTAAGTTGCTGACACCTGAATCTCGCAACTCTCCCACAGCTGTCCCAGGATACCTGGCTTCAACATTCACTCTCTCCCATTTGTGGAGATGCAAGTCCCACCCCAAACCCTAATTCCTTCACTGATCTGATTAGATCTACAAGACAGAGTCACTTCTAAGAAAATGTATTATATGTTCTCTTTTATGGAAGATTGCCTTCTGTCTGAAGGACTAATGGAGGACTCTCCTTAACTGAAGCCATCTTCTGTTTGAAGTTTATCTGATCCAGTTCTGGTTTCAAGATAAAGGACCATAAGAACTGCTGTTGCTTATTCAGTCTGGACTGCAGACTGAATAGGCAGAAACATAGGTTGCCTGGTCACTCTTCCACATTAGTGGAGATGCACCACATTTCTATTTAAATTATAATCTGTATATATCAATTTACATTCATGCATATAAAGTCACACATGCACATTCCTGCAAATCCTTTCTTTTTTATGCAGTTCTTTTGTGGTAATGTGTTAGTGATATTCCCAAAAAGTTTAAGCTGGAGGCACTATAGCAGGGGTGACTACTGCTTGGAGCAGCAGGAACAGAGGTACTTGTTTGTCTGCAAGTTCAGGGGCTGATGACAGCCTGATCCATTGGGTGAAAGAATGGGAACCATTAATGTGTAGCTGTCCCCAACCTAGTGCCTTCTGTGCAGGCTGGGGATGATGGTGTTTGTGGCCTAGCACATCTGGGCATAGATAAGACTTTCATGAAGCAGTTGTTCTGGCTCATTCATGGAAGGTTGGCAAATGACATCCTCATCTGTTTCTACATTTTCCCATGTTTTTCTGCTGCTTCATCTGGCTTTTTTTCTTACTGGAAAAATATCCATTAAGGAGGAAAAACCAGAATTAACTGCAGAAAGCCTCTTGAATTGTAGCAGTAGGAACCCTCCATCTGGAAGCACCTCAGATGTAGTTTGTTGCGATGGGGGCGGCATAGAAATGTTTTAAATAAATAAAATAAATAATAGTTTGTCCCTAATAGCCATTGATATACCAATTCTCTACAAATGTGTTGAATCCTTCATTTTTAAAAGCACTGTAAGCTATTCCGGCAAGTGTGACACCTGCAGGGCATCTTATGGGAGACCAGGTTCTTTGTGTTTGCATGCCCATTTCTTCTAACTGCATACAGGATTCCAAAAAAGAGAAATAGCCAAAGAGATGAAGCTTGCAGATTTGCTGCAGTTTCCACCTCCCTGCTCACCAGCCCCAAACATGTTGTGCCTATGCTAAAGTCATCCGTATTGTCTAGGGATGCAGCAGAGAGGATAGATCTGGATCTACTGAAAGATCTTGGGGTGATCTGCAAACAAAGACTTTCAACTTTTTTCTTTTCTTGTTTTTTTCCTTTTTGCAATAGCAGCAGCAAAATGTTTCCCATTCTGCCCTAGGTTATACTGTTGAAATGGCAAACTTGTGAGCTGGTACACAATG